ATGGCAAACTGTGCGTCTTTCACGGGTGCAATCAAATACTCCTTCTTCCAAACAAACCCTGGTTGGATATGGTATCCCAGGAAGATCCCTTCAACCCCAGTTGACGAAAACTTGGAAGTCTCCGGAACATTCTGTTTAGGGTTATGCCAATACAAGACCTTAGCTCCGAAAGGAACAATCAATCCCGCAAAGGACTCCCCAAAGCGTGCCTCCCATGGGATTTCACCAGTATCCACTCGTTTTGTGAGATTGAGCGCAATGGAGTGGTGCTGAGCTGCTAAAGGCCAAAACCGTTCTGGAAGACCGGCTTGCTCCAAGTTCGAGCGCGTACCCTCTAGTACGGTGCGGATTTCCCGTTCGATGACGGCCTTAGTTTCATCCACGTACTCTCTAGAGGTGTTGTGCCTACATCGGAGTTCCTTCACAGCTGCTCCCAACTCCGGCGCGTTGTCAGAGTAAATAACCCCAACTTCGTCTTGCGTACCGAAAAAGTGCAGAAGGTCCTCATGCACTTGTTCCGATGATTTTGTTGCGCTAGGATACACATACCTAAATTGCGAAAACACATCTTTGATAACAAACGCCACCCTCTCATCCTGAAATCCAAAGTCCCTCAGATCTCTTGTCACGAGATGATCAATGGTAACATGATCCCCATACTTTTCACTGTGTATGGTCGAAGATCCCCCCTTTCTTCGAGCTTGGGGAGATAGCATCTTCGCCTTTTGGCACACTTTGCAGAATGGGTTCTTAGGACGATGGCAGAATTGATGATGGATGCTTTCGGCCTCGGCGCGAAGCCGGGCTTCTTGCGAGATTTCCCTTCCCTCATCTTCTTCCTTGTCACTATCGGGCTCGATTAAGGGATCGTCCTCGGGTCTTTTGAAAGCAGTAATCGACAGAATTGGCGATCCATCAATCTTTTGATTTTTAACCCTTAGACTTCTGATGTCAACAGAATCCTCAATCTTGCTCCAAGCAGAGTCCTTGTAGATCCAAGTGGTCCTTAGCACGAACCTTGGATGACGAGGTGCAGGTACTCGCAAAGCCTTTGGCCGATGACCAATAATGATCTTTGATGCGGCAATTTCACTGCTAGTGATCCAACCTGGCTTGGCTAAATCTTTAGGCTTGATTGCAATTGGCGGTGCAGAATTGATTGCTTCTTCTATCTCGGAGTCGCTGTGGACGACTCTTTCATCCCCGGCCGGTCCTCTCAGACGGCTTTCTACTGGAAACCCGAAGACTCGTCCTCCGCAGGTGCCGCCAGTTCAACCTTGACTGTACCGGCGTTAAACACCTGAGTTCCAGCAGATTTCTGGGAATTATCAGCACTTGCTGGGCTCGCTACCGAGTCATCATTTGAGATCACTGGGACTCTACCCTTCATCTTACACTTGATGACTTTACCATCGGGAGCTATGAAGTATGGAACCTTGCCCGCAGGCCAATGGAAATCATATCCATCGTCCATGCATCTTCTCCCAACGGAACAAACCGGTGGCGTGCTTTCCAGTAGATAGCACTCAATGTTTTGCTTCAGTTCAGGCATCGGGATGTTGGTTGACTTGATTCCCTGAACTGGACCATTAGCTGTAATCAAGTTGACCGGCCTACTAGCGTTTTCGATGGGAGCCTCTGGATAGTAGATAGAGTGATCGTGCCTACTGATCAGATCTTCTTCACTGCCAGTATCGGCGAGGAATTCTAATCCCGCATTAAAGCTAGAGCATGCTGTTCTTTCCACGCTAGAACACAGCTCGCACTTCAACACTGCAACTGGGATCTCACCCTCTTCGCAGTCATCTGTGCACTCGTACTCACAGTGGCTTTCAATCCCATTGAGCATACAGGACATGATCCTGGCAAGCTCGTTCGCTGTTCTTATGGCCGTGCTTAGGTCCTGAACTGGAGGCTTTGGGCAGCTTTCAGCATCCAAGTAACAAACTTCGAAAGTTCGCGGTTTGGTCCTATGCTTCTTACCCTTACCATCCAATGGAATCTCCCGAATGCTTGGCTTCTCCTTGAACCTTAATTTCTTGAACGTTCCTGAAGCATCACCCTTAACGCCTTGCCCATTGGGCACAGCTGCCAGCGCATACGAAATGCAACAAGCTGCCGTGCGTCCGCCAGACTTTTCCTTGCTCTTGGACCTGCCCCTGTGTTTCTTTTCCTTCTTTGCTTTAGGATCCGGGGTCGGGCTCCTAGGCTTTTCATCGTTCTTCGCAGGGGCGGCCTGCTCGGTAGGAGCGGCGTCAGTTGGATTGGGCTTATCTTGATGCAGGAACCTACAGTCTTTGCCTTTGTTGCACTTGCCTTTCTTCCAAAAGGTGCAAATCGCGTTGATCTTCTTCTGAGGCGTTCGATGAGGACTTGGGGATCTTGACTTTGGTTTGTGGAGAAACTTACACTTGTCGCCTCTTGTGCATTTTCCTTTCTGGAAGTCGTAACAAACCTGTTGTGTTTTGGGACTCTGAGATCTAGGCGGTGTTCGTTGGCTCGATCCTTTGCTGCTTGTTCTGGATTTTGAGCTACTTCGGGACATGCTTCTTCCACGGCCTCCTCGTGAAGAGGGGCGACGTTCAGATCCGTACGCTGGGGCCCCGTATCTATCGCCATGCGACTTAGCGATGCGATCACGGTTCTTACGCATCCGTTCTCTAGTTAGATGCTCCCTAATGGCATTGACAAGGAATTCATACGTGTGTACGGGGTTTCCTTCCTTTGCCCTGTCGTACAGCTGAAGATCGTACTTGATGTGGTGGGATTTCCGAATTTCCCTCAGCAAAATGTCCCTCAAAGTAACCTCATCCGGAACATGACTCATTCCAGCAATCACCGACTCGAAGTTGTAAAGGAAGGTAGCCAAATCGTCCCCAACCAACTTCACTTTCAAAAGGTCTTCTACGCTATAGAGGCTTCCGACTTCTTCATTAGTCTTAAAGTGTTGATGAAACATCCACAATACTTGTCTTCCCCTGACGGCACGTCCTCCTGTGGCCTCTGTTTCTTTGAAGTTTAGGACTTGCCTTGAAATCTCTCCTCTAGCGACTCTGGTAAGTGCAGCCAACAACTTCGTGTCCAATGTTAAGAATTTCCCAGTGTCATGTAAGGACTTGAGGGTAGCCTCTTTATCATATACTTCCTGCACCCAGCGAAATGCCTCATCCGGGCGATCGCTCGCAGCCCGCACAATCTCGCGGACCGAGATTCGCCACGATCGGTAGGTCTCTGGATTAGGGTAATCGGGAAGCTTGATGCTTTCGGCTTCTTTCACCTTTGGTTTGCCCTCTTCATCTTCGGTCTTAGGGGTAAGCAAGCGTGCTGCTCTAATCAATGCCTCAGCTCCGAAATCAACATGTGGAACCCCGTCTGGATCAACAGTCGCCGGCTTACCCGTTTGGGCAGCTTTAAGAGACTTTTCCTTTTGTGGCTCTCTGTTCTCAAACCCAGGTGGTACAGAAGTTCCTTGCAGAGGTTCCTGAGCTTGCGGCGTTCTTCCGAAGATGTCCTTCATGTTCTCGGGAATCTCAAATGGATTTGAGAACGGGACAGCAGGATTAGGTCCTGGCTTCGGCGTGGCATATTGTTTGCCCGCTTCGTCCGCATTGGCTTCCATTCTTAGGGCTCGTTCTGCGGCAGCCAGTTCATCCTGCAGTCTGTCGTTTTGTGCACTCATTTCAGCAATTTCAGTAATGAAACGCCGTTCCATACTCGCTTCGGTTTCTTCAAGAACTTGTTTGAATCGGATTCCAAGAAAATCAAGATGTTGTGCTTTGTTGCGTTCGCTCTCAGCAATCAGAGTGGTTCTGAGCTTAGCGATTTCCGACTGATGTCGTTGTTGGAAAATTGATTCCAGAATGTTCATTTCATTCCTGCATGTTGCAACTTCGTTCAACAAAAACTTTTCCCTTTGGGATGCGTTGAACTCAAATTCCGCAAACTGTGCTTCGCATTCTGCCATCTTCACCTCATGAAGGCGCTCGGCCTGTTCAGCCATGCCAGCCATTCTCACAAGATTATCATGCGATTGTTGGTTCAGAATGCTTGCGTGTCTTCTTTCAGCATCTGCCTCCGTTCGCTCTATTGCCATTCTTTGTTGTTCGGCTGTTTCACCCTGGTTCACAACATTGTACAAGGTATACTGCACGTTTGAGATGTCGACCGTTGGATTTGAGACAAATGGAGATAGGGTAGGACCCACTGGACCGAAGATCCTATCAAGTGCTTGGGATCCTGAGCTCGGTGCCGTAGGGCCCGCGCCAGCTGCTGTGAGTTGTTCATCAAGCAGTCGATCTCTTGTTTCGTCGTCCATCTCGTCCGATGATACTTCGGTTGTTTCTCCCTTTTCAGTAGTGAGCAGGGAGGGCGAAGTACTCGTGTACCAGTGTGAATACCAGTGTAAGAATACCACGGAGACAAAGTCAGCGAATACGGCTGATAACCTATAGAATACACCAAAACCGTTAAGCCATGAGCGGTCGCGCTAACCTTTTACTCAGAGGGCTTGGGCACAATAGTCAGCGGTATATAGTACACAACATGATGACTGTACACGACCATACAAACTCCTACGCAAGCTGCGATGCAAAACTACAAACCCCTAAACCCCTAAAACCCTAAACCCTGAACCCTAAAACCCCTAAACCCCTAAAACCCTAAACCCTGAACCCCTAAACCCCTAAACCCCTAAAGCCCTAAACCCTATAAACCCTAAACTCCAATCACGAAGCTGACGTGTCGGGGCACCCTGAGCACCAAACTCGATAAGAAAACTTCGTGCTCAAGGCCCTAGAGTTGTGGGTTGCCCATAGGCCCCATAATAGTTCTTGTTTGGGGATTAGCTTATAGGATTCTAGAGTTGTGGGTTGCCCATAGGCCCCATAGTAGTTCTTTTTTGGGATTTATCTTATAGGATTCTACATAAGAACCCCAGAAAGGAACTACTGTGGAGCCTATGTGCCTGTGCGAAGGGACATGAAAGCCTGAATCTGGGCGTCCTCCGCACGCAACTTGCTCTCCTTCGCTTCCTCTGTGTTCTGCTGGTCCTGTATCGTAAGCATTAAGGAGTCTAAGGCATTGGGGGCGTCGACTCACGGCGGAGGAAAACGATGTTTCGGATGAGGGCTGGGGGTCATACTCGTGCCGAAACATATACGATGTAGCAGTTTGTTGGGTGCAGAGTTTTATTTTGCGTTCATGTCCGGTCATGCGCTAAGGCTGATACAAGCTGAAGGCCTAAACTGCCGAATCAAACACTTCAAAGACCGCGTTATTGAGGCATGGTTCATGCCGGACCACTTCAGAAACTCTTGCGCAAGCTTTGCTTTAGGCTGCTGCACTGCGGCTGTGTGGCTGGCCTTATTCATGCCACTGTTCATCAGACTGCAGAACCGTCCAGCAGAGTCACAGATACCAGAAGCGGCGAGCACATAACTGCAAGGGAGACTGACCAAACCTAAACCTTGGGTACTGCCCCCATACAGTAACAGTCTATAATAGGGTTCCTATTAAGCTGCTAATATAGCTATATTACGAATATTATCCAAGTGTTACTGAGTGGGTGCAGTACCCAACCTAAACCCCGAGTCCCCCCAAAGAGGGCCTTCAAAAGCGAAGGAAGCACAGCTCGATCCCTGCTCACCTCAAGCCCTAAAAGTTGCCTGACGTTTGAGCCTCAGCCAGTTCTGACTTTCGAAGTCCCTACAACAGGCTGTACTACCAAACGCACCGAAGAGGTAGCACTCCCGAGACAAAGCCGTATTCAAAGTCTAAACCTCCGTTGCAAACTACGATACTGGAGCTCTATATGCCGCCCCTACATCCCAACATCCCTGCAAGCCACATGACCCTGGCAAGTAGATCCCTGTCGCCCTATCAAAAGCCCATCAGAAATCCCATAAACCTCTACACAAACTTCCCAACATAAAAGCCCTCTAAATACAAAGACGACCTCTGACAGCTGCTTCTGGTCCAAGTCGCAGGGGCACCGACCAACAGCGCTGGGTGGGACGCAGTCGAGCCTTCCACATCGGCCTCATGCCCAAAGTCTCACTTTGAAGGGTTTACCCAAAGGCTCCATGGACCTTTATACTAGATACTTAAGCCTTGAAGGGTTCCCCTATATAGGTACTTTACGGCCTAAGTATCTGCTAATTTTTATGGGTGCATGGAACCTTTGGGTTTGTTGAAGTCTTGGAGGATTCTAAGGCTTTGACTGAACCGTACTACGGTAGGGTGGCATTTTGGGGGATCCTCTGGGGAAGCATGAGTTCTTCCGAAGCTTAAGGGTGTAGGCCGAAGCTTAAGGGTTCAGGGTCTCAGCTTGCGGTTTATAGCATCGGTTTGGGGTGTTTTTCCCCTGCCTTGGCGGCGTTTGCTGCCTTGCCGACCGCCGCTGCAGCCTCCTGGGGGCTGCGAAAAGGCACAGGTTCCTAGCTAGGGCTTCCCTTTACTGAACTTAGAACCCTGGCAACAATTATAACTTTAGCTGTTTCTTAGGGATTATAATAGCAAAAAACTGAAAATTATTGCTAAGTACCCCTAAGTTCCTGCATGACGTTAAGTTTTGTGATTGCCTCCTACTTCGCCCGCATTGCAGGGTTGATAAGCCTGGAAAGTTCGACCAAACTTGGAGAGCATCTGGACTCTCGGGCTTTGTGGGCTTGAAGGTTCACATTTAAGACATTATTGAAGGGGTTCTTGTGACGACTATGCTACTGCAATGTAGAGGGGTCCTTGAAGTGTCGCTGCCATTATTTAGCTCTCCGTGAAAGAAAGCATTGCTGCATGTTTAGGGTCTGAGAACCCACAGCTGTCCACGCATAGGCCCCATAGTAGTTCCTTTTTGGGATTACTTGGGATTACCTTTTCGGCTTCTACATATGAACCCCAAAAGGAACTACTATGGGGCCTATGGGTAGACCTGCTCTTTCAGCCAGTTCCGGCTCTCTGTACAGGGCTGAAGGGCTTTGCGGTTTAGGGCTCTTGAGCACCAGCCCTAAGCCTAGTTCAGTGATTCGGGATTTACGGTACCGGCTACCAGGCAGCTAGATGGGGCAGGGCATCCTCGTCTAAGATCTACCATGTTCGCCTGATTCGGGTGCCGGGCATGGGAGTCCCTTAATGCTTTCGGGCTTTGTGATTTCAGGGCTTTTGGGCTTATAGGGCCAGGAGTTGACTATAGTCTCATTCAGCGCTCCTCCGTATTGAGGCTTATGGAGCCCGGTGACCTTTCGTCTGCAAGCGCTGTTCTACCAAACCACTCGGACAGTCCAACCGGTTAGAGCTTTGCCCAAAACCCCAAACACTCGAAGCAATGGCAAACCTAAATCCCAAACCGTCTCCACACCTTGGCCTCGGCAGCAAGCTCATGCCTCAAGAGCTCCTGCAGCGCCGGCGGAAAAGAGCAAGTGACATCTACTGCAAACCAAGCCAACCTCTGATTCCGTTGCAACAAACCAATCCCGCATGTATAACTCTAGTTCATTGTTAGGATAGGGTTAAAAAAATGTGCATTATTATTCCTTATTGGGTTTCAGTATATACCTGTAAAAATGTAAAATGTTACCCAGCGATGACAAAGAAGATTTCAGTCGAACTTTCGCTGGGGCTGTGGTGTGGAGGGTGTAGGGTTTAGGCTGCGGGCGATGCAACCCATCATCAAGATTCAGGATGTTGAAACCCACAAAGACCATCGGACAGTTTGAAAGAACAAACGTCAGTAAGTTTTACATCGCTAAACTCGAAAATCCTAAAACCTCATGTGTAATTTGTTAGACACTCCATGACTCTATGATGCTCTATGATGGAATCCCTGCACCCCCTGACATCACAGCAATCGTACACGTAGGACTTGTTCCAGGCAGCCGTCACCTGTATGCAACCCCCGAAACCCTAAACCTTAAAACCCGATCCCCAGAGCCTCTCTCCTAAAAGCCGCACGGTTACATCTCCGAAACCTCCAGCCCCAAACCCTGAACCTTCAAACCGAAGCCCCACAAACGAACTCCTAAAATTTAAAACCCCCAAAGTTACATCTCCGAAAACTCAAGCCCCAAAGCCTTGACCTTAAACTCCCAGCCGCAGAGAATAACTCCCAAAACCCCCAGAGTTACATCTCCGGAACCTCAAGTCCCAAAGCCTCAACCGCTCCGAGGTCTGGCTTCGGTTTCCAGCTTGTTATGGAAATCCTTCCTAGTCCTAACACGGCCACCTGTTCAGGCTTTAATGGGAACTCCAGAAAGTTGGAATATGGTTTCATGGTAGGAGACCTTATAATTTACCATAAAGGGTTTAGGATAATCATATTCCAACTTTCTGGCTTTTACTGTAGTGTTCAGTGCTTAGGGCTTCGTTTAGGCCTTTAGGGTTTCAGAGTTTCAGGCTCTAGTTTCTAGGGTTTCGCTTAGGCCTTTACTATACTGAACTTAGAACCCTAGCAAAAACTATAATCTTAGCTGTTTCTTAGGGATTACAATAGCCAAAATTAAAAAAAAATCTCTAAGTACCCCTAAGTTTCGAGGGTTTAGCTTCGGCCTTTAGGGTTTCAGGCTTCATAGGGCTTAGGGTTCAATGTAAGCCTTTAGGGTTTCAGGAGACTCCAATATCCCTTGATTAAGGAATATACAATTAATCATATGAGGGGTCCTGCTATAATTTAAGGTATATTCTTTAAAATAAGGGATATTAGAATCCCCTAAACCCTATAGATCCCTTAAAGATCCCTTTAAGGAACCCTATAGATCCCTTAAAGATCCCTTTGAGGGATATTGGAGTCTCTGGGTTTCAGGAGGGTTTTATTTGGCCTCTAGGCTCCCAGTCTCCCAGGCTTCAGAGGCCAAGTTGAAGTTCCGAATTCAAGGGCAGAGATTGGGGTCGGAAAATTGGGCGTACCTTTAAAGGGGATCCTTAAAGGGTTCCTGAAAGGGATCTATAAGAGTCATATAAAGGATTTAAGGTGAGTTTCCGAAAACAAGGGGTGCCTTAATGGGGGGTCCTCATACTAAGGATCCTACTATTAGGGTAATTTATTTGGGTCCCCTATTATCGGAAACCCCCATATGAATCCACGAGCTGCTCTATAAGATGCTCTTCCAATTTCCAGTATCGAAAGCTTGCCACGATAGCACGATTATGGGCTAAATCGTAAAATCTAAACCCTGAACCACCCACTCCCATTGATCATTGGTGCCGTCCTCCTCCGATGCAAGCTCCGCACCTCTGTGAAGCTTTGGGGGGGCAGTGCCAACAAAAGAACAGGCCAAGAAGCCCGTTAGGGGTTCAGGATTCAGGGATTCAAGGTTTGGGGCTTTGACTTTAGCTGCAGGACTTTTAGGATATACAGTAAAAGCCAGAAAGTTGGAATATGATTATCCTAAACCCTTTATGGTAAATTAACGGGTATCCTACCCTGAAGCCATATCAGGGCTGTTGCAGTTTGGAGCTTTAGGACCTGGGGCCTGGGTTTTAGAAGATGGCATAGTGCGAGCCCTAGATCAAGGGTTAGAGTTGGAGGTTCATGGGACTTAGTAAGTACAGTTATGTGTACCCTAATTGGGATTATATACATATAAATGTAGTTACCTTAATTATAACCCCAGCTACTAAGTCCCTAGAGTTGGGATACAGGGGTACTGCCCACATCCTGGGGGCATCTAAAGTAAAACCCCCAATTTACTACGAGAGGCTAATCCATGGAAAACACCCTTTACGGGATCTATTTTGGGATCCTCCCAGAGGTCTGGGTTTAGGGGTGCACAAAGCAATACCGTCAAAAGAAGCCCTCTGAGCCTGTGGTTGGGCAACCTAAGGACTGCATCCACGGCTTAGGGTGTATACAGTGTTTGAAACCCTGAACCCGAAACCTCTTTTCAGCACGGACTGAGGTGCCGGCCAGCCTCTAAACCCTAAACGGCCCTAAAAAACCCTGAACCCTAAAACCCTAAACCCTCAACCCTAAAACCCTAAACCCCTCAACCCTAAAACCCTAAACCCTAAACCCTCAAACCCTAAACCCTAAAACCCTAAAGCCCGAAACCCTCAACCCTAAAACCCTAAACCCCTCAACCCTAAACCCCTCAACCCTAATACCCTAAAGCCCTAAACCCTCAACCCGAAACCCCTCAACCCCTAAAACCCTCAACATTAAGGCGGCCCAGTGGCGGAGGCTCGCGTGCTCAGACTCCAGCTCGCGGCGCAGGTGCTCCTTCTCCTGCAGATTACAGTAGAAGCCAGAAAGTTGGAATATCATTATCGTAACCCCTTTAAGGTAAATTATAGGGGATCCTACCATTAATCCATATTCCAACTTTCTGGAGTTCCCTTTAGGGCTCTACACATCCCTAAGGCTCCATGTACCCATGTAGCAGATACTTAGGCCTTAAAGTACCTATATAGGGACCCCTTTAAGGCTTAAGTATCTACAATAAAGGTACATGGAGCCTTTGGGCATAGGCCCCATGGTAGTTCCTTTTTGGGATTATCTTATAAACTAATATGGGGGCCTGTGGGTAGCTAGCTTCTTAAATCATGGGCTACTGGGTTACAAGTTACACAATATTGGCTGGTAACCTACAACCTAGGTAACTGGAGCCTATGGGATGACTTCCTATCCCAGCGATTGGGGTTTAAGCTTTGCCAACACCCTTGAGTGGGGATTGTGGGCCTTTACAAACGGGATTGAGAAAGCTGAATTCACATATGTCGGCCCTCTCATATTACGACAGAACTTGCTGGCTTAGGGGGCTTACCGAAATCTCCTGAGAGTCCAGGTAAGGTAAAGGGTTTCTACTGTCCCTACAGCAACCATATGGAAATACCAATTGGCCATCCCCTTCCAACCGTCTAGTAAGTTACCTACTAAAGGGAACTCCAGAAAGTTGGAATATGGTTTCAGGGTAGGATACCCTATAATTAACCATAAAGGGTTTAGGATAATCATATTCCAACTTTCTGGCTTTTACCTTATGACTAACATACAAGCAGTACGTTACGATGCTTTACTCATACTGCGAGCCTTGAAGCTGGTCAATCACCAAAAAGCAGCAAGGATGTGCTCACGGCCGACATCCCTTGAGGAAGGCTCACTGAGAGTCTGTTACGATTCGCATGGACTCCTGAAGTGTGGTACGGGAAGCAGTGAGATAATGTGACATGGAGATTTAGGGCAACACGAACCAGAAGCAGCCACAAGTGAGCTCCTAATCCTATGCAGTCCTGAAGTCTGCCATGTATCTACCCTCAGGCTCCATGTGCCTACATAGTATATACTTCCGCCTCGAAGGTGTTTCCATATAGGTGCCTGTTTATACTATTTCTACTATATAGGAACATGGAGCCTCGGGGCACAGGTACACGGAGCCTTGGGGCTGGAACCCTGCGTTGCCGTCCTGCTGCCGCAGATGGCTCTCGCGCTGCTTCTCTCGCTCCTCACGCTCGTCTTCCTGCTGGCGCTCATGGGCCTCGCGCTGCTTTTCCCGCTGCTCATGCTGCTTTTCTCGCTCCTGGGCTGCAAGTTGTGGTTTTCAGACCTTTTGCGGGTTTGAGGTCTGGGATTCGTTCAGGCGACTGCCGTCATCACCATCAATACCGGCGGCAGGCTCATGCCTATCCTAGTTATAACAGCATCGACATCGCCGTCGTTTTCACGTGCATCGTCCTCAACGCCCCCAAGCGCAAGACTCAAACCCCAGCCTAAGCTGAAGCCTCTAGAGCGGCAGAAGCGGCACTCGACCGGGCATGCTCGGAAGAGGCATTCGGGCCGGTTGCTGCCAACATCAAAGCCGCATCCGTTGCGCCCTGCTGTCCTGGAAACACTTAACCCTACTAAGCCATCAAGGAGGTTCAAGATGGAATTTCGGATGATTGCGACTTCGTAGTTTGTTGGGCCTGGAGTCTTTGGGGCTGGGCAAGTTCAGTCTAAGGCTTCAGTTCTCGTATGGAAACCTTCTCATGACAGACAAAGACCGGTGTGGCAATAGTCGTCGTCATCACCGCTACTACTACCGCTGCCGAAGACTGCGGTGACTTTACTACTACGACTGCTGCGCTACGACGATGACTACTATACCAAAACGGTTAGTTGCTATGTGCTAACTACAAACTACTAACTGTAAACTACTAAGCCCTCAGGTCTGACATGCATTCAATCGTGCTTTTGCCCCTTTAGGACCAACAAGCGGCATCAAATGCCCAGCGAGCCTTGACCTTGGGTGTACTTGGAGTAATCCATGTACTTCTGAAAGCCGCTCTTCTCGGAGCCGTGCCCCTGGGTGTACTTGCCTTGCTGCTGGGCCAGGGCCAGGGAAGCTCTTGGGATTAGGGTTTCGGGTTTCGGGATGTGGAGGAAAATGGAAACTTCAATCCCAGTCGAAACTACAAGACAAGAACCAATCTGATGTTCTACCAAAAAAGAACAAACCTGATGCTCTGCCATGGGGAAGTTGCTGTAATCATCGGCGTAGGACTGGAGGTACTGCTTGTAGTCCGAACCTTGCGAGCCGTGCCCCTGAGTGTACTTGGAGAAGTCCATATACTGCTTGTAGTCGCCCCCCTGAGACAGGCAAAGTTGCAATGATGAAGGCAAACTTGAACTAGCCAGACCCCTGTCAGAATCTCAAGAACTCGGATTTGCGGTTCATCTACCGCCCTTGAGTGACCAGAACGTGCAATCGCATATTACGGCAACATTCCTAACGTACAGCCGCATCCCAATTCCAAGGTGTGAAGCCAAAAGGGCTTTTTTGACCGAAGGAAATTTGAGCCATGAGCCCTGAATGCACCATGCAGAAGGCAAAATAACACTCCAGTAGAATCCGTTCGATCGCCGGCATGTGTTGAAGACCAGACATCCAATCGTAGACAAGATTGATTTCTCCAAGCATTGCAAGCATTACTAGCGAAAGCCTTGACGACCAAATCCTGTCAACGACGATCAGTGCACGATAAAATCGAAACAGCGGCATCTCCACCCTCAAACACGTTTGGTACCACCCTGCCTGTGAGCCGTGCCCCTGCATGTATTTGTTGTAGTCCCCGCCGTAGGACTGCATATACTGTTTGTAGTCCGAACCCTGCGAGCCGTGCCCTTGAGTGTACTTGGAGTAGTCCATGTACTGCTTATAGTCACCGCCCTGCACATGACGAACTGGGGATTAAGCAACTCTCTGCAAGAACGAAGGCGTGGAAACAAGCCTAGGATAAACGATTCTGCATCTCATGTTATGGTGATCTATACGTCGTTGGGGCATATTTTATATCCAAAGTCCACGGCACAGAAAAGCTGATGCTCTTCGATGCACAAATAGAAACACACACAAGCGAACATTCAATATATCTTGGTTCATGTACGATAGGTTGGGTTTCGACTCGCGCCCTGGCAAAGCAGCGGCGAATCCAAGCGACATGTTTGAACTCAATATATTGGTTTTACGGCTTCGGGATTAAGGCTTATTCGAAACTTGCTGCCGCAAGTTTAATCGTTCGCCGGACATCATAGTTATTCTGCTAACAGAACTGCGGCAAACCTAGCCCGAGCCGCATCACTGCAACTTTCATCGCCACTAGTCTTGAAGAACTCAGGTGCCCACAACACGTTGAATAACAGCCTAAGTTCAGTCTGCAAGCATGTACCATTCCACTCATCGAGACCCTAAATTCTACATTCTCGACGTCTCTAACAGTCTAACTATGGTTCTAAGTTCTAAAATACTCGAGGCATCCACAACAAAGCTCTTGCGTAGGTGGTCTTGCCGGCTACATTGTCCGCAAGGTCCAAACAATCTAACTCTCCACCCCCAGCTATGCTTGGGACTACCGTGCCTGTGAGCCGTGCCCCTGCGTATATTTGCTGTAGTCCCCGCCGTAGGACTGCATATACTGCTTGTAGTCCGAACCCTGCGAGCCATGCCCTTGAGTGTACTTGGAGTAGTCCATATATTGCTTGTAGTCTCCACCCTGCGAGCCGTGACCCTGGGTGTATTTGGCATAGTCCATGTACTTCTGGAATCCACCCTTGTCAGCTGCATTCTCGGACTGGTGTGCCTGCGAAAGACCAGCATTCGCAACGCCAGGAAAAAATACCCGAAAGTCCTACAATACATCTTATCATTTGTAAACAAATATATGCATACATTTATATATACATAGTATGTGTATATGGTACCCGCCCCTCACCTTGGACCTACCTATTGAAAGCTTTAACAGTACTATAGGCATGAACTTGTTGCGGTTGCGGGTGGCGAAGTGCCTGGTAAGCCCCAACTATGCAAACAATGCTGTGAACCTACAGTAAGCACAAACTATGCTACAGTTAGGACTCAATCTTCAAGGCGACATCGGGGGCCTATTCACGTTGAATCGGACGGATTCAAATGAACCGAGGGCCGTATTGACGATTGAAGCTGTCCGGACACGGTCTGCCACGGATCTTCATTCTCCCATCCGTGGCCGATTCAACTTAAATCGCATGCGCCAAAGCCTCCATCCCGCAGATTCTGCTGGATCCCGCCCCTAAGTACCTGGCTCTAGCAACCATTCGGACCATGTCGGAGATTACCGTGCCCGGTTCGGTTATGTTCAAGGACGGCACCCTCCTAAGTTTAGGCCTCTGGTGTATGATCCAGGCTGACAGGCAGGCTGTCAGGAGTGGCTCTGCAGATGAGTGCGTGCATTGTTTGCGATGCAACCTCTTACATTGCCAGCGAATTATCAAACCCCACCCCCGGCAAAAGCAGTTTAAAGACGCTTTGTAAACAGATCTCGACGCCCCTGATCGAGCCAGGAAGTTTTTGAGCGAACCTGCTTCTAAAAACTAAAGAGTTTTATTAAAAACAAAAAAAAGAACCTATTTGTAATTACATTTTCTCAAGAAGCGAGATTTTATTAAAACCGAAAAGATTTTAAAACCACTGCGAGTTCAAAGGTTCCTCAATGAAAGATCTACCCATTACCCAGAAACTTGACTCATTCGTGCATGCCACTGACTTGTTCTTTTCCAGCCATAGTACGAGCAAGGCAACCATGACTTTTGTGCTGGTATGGCGGTATGGCCCGCGTTCGAAGCCCTCCCTTCTCAAAATCTCGGCAATCCTGAAGCAGTGTCTCCAGCCTATCCCGGCGCCTGGCCGCTCGGCACCTGCAACGATAGCTCCTGCACCAGAGGTCGGCCCACCTTGCCATGCGTGTCCAGCGGCAGCCGGCTCAGCTCTTGTCCCAAAGCCCTGTGCCATGCTAGCATCGGAACATCGGCACATTGTCACATGATGCCGCTGGTAGGTGTTGAGCTTGGGATTGTCGGGAAGTTCCCGATGACGGTGATGCGTACATGAAGCACCACAATGTTCTTCCCCGCTTCGATTTCAACCTGCTACACGCCGAAACCCACTGCTTGCATGGCAGCCACTTTCAAGAGCAAGAGGCGCTCTCGCCACGCTAGAGGGAGTAGGCTTGTGGCCTGCCCCGTGGCGGCAACGAGATCCAACTGCATGCATTGCGGCAAGCGCACAAATCCAAGGATCACTCCCAGTGGGACCAGCAGCGCCGCTTGCTTTGACATGTTTCGACGACAAGGCTGAATGGGTCCAGTATCCGGGCTGTATCCGACTGTTACAATGCAACTGCCAATCTTTGCCTACTACACCTGGGCCCAATTACTTGTCCTGACTTCCCAGTCCACGCGCGACTTGCACAGTTAACCCTCTGTTGAAAACTGTCCATGGAACTTTCCCTCCTGGTACTTGCTTGCGTCCATCTCTCGTCTCTCTGAATAAAGAATTATAAGGTATATTGCGGCATCAGGCTTTTATGTTTCTGTCGCAACTCGCATGGTCCGTAAGCACACCAACACACGGCTAATCTACCATGCGACGTGATCAGAAACCTGGCTGGCCTGGCTGGATGTGGAGGTGGAAGCAGTGAAAGGCTGGCTGGCTGGCTGGCTGGCTGCTGGCTGGCTGTGGCTTACCGGGCTGGCTGGCTGCCCTGGCGACGCGGTCGTAAATTGGAAATGTTTGGCTTCAGTTTGGCAGCTGTTCTCTGCACAATCTAAGACTAAGACATTAGAAAAGGAGTTGTGTTTCTCGCCTGGTCCCATTTTGAAGAAACGATCGTCCGAGGATATGGGGACGGGGCTGGTCCCAAAGTCTGTTCAGCTTCTTCGCAAGCCTGACCCTCGCCCTCGCCTCGTATAGGCCTTGCATAAATTTGTAGCTTAGATAACCCTGACAATACAGTTATTTTCATGCTCACCCGAAATAGACGCTTTACAGCTCCACACCAAAGCTCGTCAGGATTAAAATGCTATCCCGCTAGCAACCCCACTGCACAACCCCAAGTTTTATAGCTCCCATATCGCCCTGAAGGTTAATGTATCAAACTACGCTGACCTGATTGGCACCCCGATAGTCAGGATACCGTAGTCTCGCTGGTAACTTAAAATTGATCAAACTCCAAGATGGACATCACTCGCAAACTTACGACCACCCATAAGCTATCCCTATCGTTACTCGTCGCAATTAACCGAATACTTCCCTCAACAGCAATTGTAAAAATTGCCTTAGGAGAAACCTCTACCATTGATGTCATCAAAAGCCTCATTATTCCGGATGTACCTGTGGTATCCATAACATGGGCATTCATGAACCCAGAATTTTGCAGTCAAGGTATCTCCAGCATTGCTTACTCAACGGTAAACATCATATCCACGCTAACATAAGCCACACACAAATATTTGGATCCATAACCATGAATCTTAGCTGTCTGGGCTGTGATGTTGCCCCAATGATGGCCCTTGAACCTTTATTATATACATCGTAACGCACAAAACCGACAAATTGAGGTGGGAAGCAAATCCCTGGAGTAAGCCCATACAGCTTGCGAAAAATTGGTTGCTGGCTGAAAAAGCAGCCTTTTCCTGGGAAAACATGATTTGGGGCCGAAGAGCAACCTTCCTCCTGACTCCTTTGGAAAAAGATGGTTCCGGGTCATGCGGCAGCAGTCTTTGCAACCCAGATGACGAACCAAGCGGCAAACAACACTCTCAAAAGGTAGGTCCCGGAGGAGTGGGGGAAGTTTATGTGTGGTAGGGAGGGCGGTGGTAACATATGTATGTATATACATATACACGTATTTATATCAAAACATGTAGTTATTTATTTTGTATATATGTATGCGTATACATTACTACAGGCCGCCCGAACACTCACATCTCTGCCACAGCCTGACCTGACGACAACTATTGATGGAACGCACGAGGCACAAACGACGTTTGACATTTGTTTCGCGTTTGCACCATCTGTACACAGACCTCTCCTATCTGCTTCTGAGTGCTGCATGGATATGCTTACATGCATGATGGCACACACTTGGGACCCCAAGTACCCAACTACTCGCAAGATACGTTCGTTTTGGCCAATTGTAGTGTAGCTCAGTATTTGGTTGAAGAGGAACTGCACGTTGCTAGATACCCGAACACTCAGGGCATGCAATTGGATCTTATAAATATAAATAAATAAATAAACATATATATGTATATATATATATATATATATGGTGCGGAGTTAAAGACCCTGACAAGCACGCGAGCTCACGATGCAGACTCCCGGGCGGAAGCCTGCGCTGCAACCTCACCACATGGCGAAATAGACGATTACAGAGTAAGCCACCATAACCCAAAACCGCAATCCCTGTACTGTTACCCGCCTCCGAACATACTGTAGGGATAATGAGAATAGGGTTTTGGGGCCCATGATAGTATAGTTATAATCAGGCACCCCTCGAAACAGCATTGGTAATTAGTTAACCCCCTACATTAAGGCCCAAAACACTAAAAGCCGTGAAGCCAGGATGCGGAATCTTTGCTCGACTTGGAGGTGTCAGCGTCCTGCAGGCTCATGGATTCCGAAACTGACACCGCAAGATTCAAGATCCAAATCACGAACCCAGTTTCCACACTGACACTCCTCTGCTGCAACGAAGCTGACTGGCTTCTTTCCGTCTTGAGAAGACTCGTCTGCCGAACCGGAAGACTCAGACGGCATGTACTTGCTGGCATAGTCGCCGGCATACCTTGGTTGAGACTTAGACTTTCAGGGCTTCGGGACACTACTGAGATCCACATTCAGTCACTGCGGCTCAACAACTTGGCCACAGTACCATGGGAATGACAAAAACGCTTGGTCATGCTACACTCAAAGGTATGAGGTAATTGCAATACTGCACGATAAAGCTTACATACATGGTCGGGGTCTGTTGGACACGGCATTACCGGCCACAGGCTGAGTCTACCCACAGGCCCCATAGCAGTTCCTTATCGGGATTACCTTATAGGATTCTATATATGAACCACAAAAAGGAACTACTTCGAGGCCTACGGGTAAAGCCGGAGAGCTGCAGCCCAACCTAAGAGCCCAGTTACCTTGCCGTGGTCTTGTCGGGAATTGGGTTTCGGTGTGGGCGATGTCTGGCTGAAGGGCCAAGGATTTTCGGTCCAAAGAACGTGACAATGAGGAGCTTGAGTTTAGGATAGTAGTACTGCATGTAAGTTTGTTGAGGAGGTATGATCTTGCTTTAGGCATGCGGCCCCGAAAGGAAATGGCTAAATCCGGTTGAACGAGGGTACTCTACAGATCCCTGGACCCTGAACAGGCCCACAACCGGATATACCGTCGGGAGTGTAGGTTTGAAGCCTAGCGTCTTCGACATGTACTTCTCATACCCGCCAGCAGAGTCAGAGCCGTACTGGGCCATGTACCTGGTGCTTCGATAGTTTCGGGAGCTTCGGTTGACATACAAGGCCTAGGTTTTGGTTTAAGCGAATTCCCACTTATTGTTGGCCAAAACCAAAGACCCTCAAGCCTTGTGCTTGAACCCAAAATACCGGGCGAAGCCCCTCCACAGCGCGGGGGCCATGGTCACATCGTCGGAGAAGACTCTAGTTTTCAGAAGCTGGTATGATTGTGACGTAAAGCTGTCCGGGATCAGGTCCTTCTATAGCTTCAGCTGAACCGGAGTTTTGATGCTTCGACGTCAGGGTCAGAAGGGGTTTCCTAGACAAAGCCCCAAGCCCCATATAGTTGGTCTGTCAGGGTTCAAGGGTGCCGAATTTGTCCCGCGACGAATGTCTAGAGGGTGAGCATTGCAGATCCAGAGCACTGTTTTTTTCACAGCGTTTACAAGGCTTATGACTCGAGAACTAGTTCATTATTGGGATAGGATTAACAATGTACATTTTTCTTCCTAATTATTCGATTTCAGTACCCATAAAAAAACATGTAAAGTGTTACCCAACTGTAACTATGACAAAGAAAATTAGCCACAGGCACTTCTTGTAGTACTTCTGGTAGCCATCACCTCCGTTGCCAGACGCGCCCTGCATGTAGTTCTGGTACTGGGATGCATACTGGTTCATGTACTTCTGGTAGTCTCCTTGCGGTTTACGGTTTAGGGTTTGGGGTTTAGGGTTGGGGTTTAGGGTGCGTTTTTTGACACTCACTCTCGGACAAGACGGGCAAGGTCTGCAGCGAGGTGCATTGCAGTTTCCGCCCCCTCCTCCCCCCGAAGAAGCCCGCACCCCTAAACCCTAAACAATATTCCTTGTCAAATCCCTTCAAAGGTACCTTCGGCCCCCCATAAGACCTCCTCCTTTAAGAGCCCCATAGCAAATGGCAGGCCGCCCAAAACAAGCGTATGCTGAAAGGTAACGCCACCTATCCTGACCCGCGCTCTGGTGCATGTTGTTTGCTAAAAGTGTGTTTCTCCAGGAACAAGCTATTCCAAAATTGCCATGAAATTTGGGAGGCGCGGCAGTGCGCAAGCAATTTTTTTTTCTGTGATGTTGTTGGTGAGATGATCAGTGTCGGAGAGTTTGTTTCCCTCGCAAAAGAAATCTTTGCACCCTTGATGCTTTGATGCAGTTATTGTGTCGCCACGACTTTCGGCTTAGTTTTCTGCGTTTCGGATTTCGGGACAACATTGCCATCTTGACATGGTGATCTGTTTGGCATACGGCTCCGAACATGTGGCTGTTTTCTGTGTGCGCGAAAACTGTGTCGTTTTGAGTTTGATCGAATGTGTTCCCTAGGAGCTTCAGATGTTGTTTTGCGCACGCAGCAACGCGCAGGCCAGGAAGGTTTCGGAGATTGTAGTGCTGAGATCATCGCAGTCGTACGTTTTCTCCCGCGGAACAAATAGCGTTTTGTGGTCATACACGCGGTTATTATGGAATGGTGCCGTAAATGC